GGGGGGGGGGGGGGGGGGGGGGGGGGGTCTTCTATATGCTCTTTCTTATGTTCCGTAGCAAGTTTCGCGAGCGATAGAGCGTCATGTTTTTTATTATTTCCATCCCACACACACCGCCGGGCAGCCTGTGGCGAGTGGCAGCCAGCCGCCTCTCGAGGTCAACGTTGCTTGGGTGATGCTTGTCTTTTTGGGGGAGAGGCTCTCCTTCTCTTTTGCGCAAGGCTAGCGGAGAGAATGGTGTAGATGGCACGAGAGAGATAAGAATGAGCTAGCTCTGGCGGGAGGGTGTTGTGTTGTGCCCTCTTGGGCGCCGTCGTTTGCGGGTGGTGGGTCAGGAATGGAAGTCCTTGGTTCGAAGTGCGCTGCGCGAATGAATACACGAAGTACCTTCGTAGCTAATATTGGAAAAACACATCCCGCTCGTACGTGCGGAGTTTTTTTGGGGGGGGAGATGTTCCACCTCGTGCCTTGGAACGAGGAGGGTCGATGGAGCACACATCTCGGACGCAAATGCGCAGTCTCGCTGTTGAGGGTGCGAGCCAGAGGGTTGTGCAATATGCGGATTGGTCGAAGAATAGGAAGAGGAGTAGATTGATCGCACGCACGACTCTGACTGGTGGAAGAATCAAGAGAGAAATGGAGTGGATTTTGCTGCGCACAGCCAAGAAAAGTGTGCTGATTGGTTCATGAACAAGGAGAAATATACATCAACTGGCTGGTTGCAAAATAATTTGGTAGAGATAGTGATTGCCGGAGAGATCTGATCAATAGTTGATCGCTCGGGTGTCTTCGTATTTTCTCTCTGTTCGCTTGGCATGCGGCCTGTCGTGCTTCCGCTGAGGCTTGTGGGCCTGGCATCAGTCAGCTGTAGAGACCTTGGGCCCTGGTCTCCGTATGTGCGACGACCGGTCGATAGTGTTCCAGGCTCGCTATGATATGTGAGTTGGAGAAGCCTTGGATCCCGTGCTGCATTTGTGCAGCGACCGTTTGTCATGTAGCAGGTTTGCTCTGACGTGTGAATTGGTGATGATTGATTGGATGACGTTTGATTGTACCGAACGGTTGCACAGGAGCTCATGGAAGCTTTCGTGTAGTAGATTTTAGGGTTTTTAACTTGCACGTTCCGGTGGCTTCCGACTGTTGCATGCTTACATCAGGATTAGTTTTGCATGTATGTCTGGACGCAGCCCTCGTGGATGGTGATTTTCTTCTGTTTTCGTTGCAAATGTTCTGTTGGGTCTTGTGTATTGTTGCCATATCGGTACAGTATCGTTTTTTAGAGGGCAAGCTTGTTACACCGCCCGTTGCACCTTTTCGTTCTCATTTGTTGCCCTTGTGTGTGTGCGTGCGTTTTCATGATTCATATTTGTATGTAGCCGTTGAGTGTGCCTAGGGCTCTTTCTTACAAAGAGCACGGCCATCAGCATCAGCATCAGCATGGAAGGAGGTGCAAGGGGACGGGCTCCCTGGGTTGTGAGGTTTAGGAGGCTCTCCGAAGATATGCGCACGGAGCGCAGCGTAGCGTCAGCTCCATCTAGATCCAAAAGTTGTCAAACGATGTCTACGCAAGGAGATAACAACTGCGAAATTAATTTTCGTCCCGGGCGAAGACCGCTTATTGATGACGGAATACTTCTTCTGTCTTGGATCGCGTGAGGGGCGCATGGCCCCTTGAACCTGGGCAACATACATGATGAGTTGTATCGTCCGCAGTTTGGTTTGCCTCCCGCAGTTTCGTGGATCCAACTTAGCAGGGTGAGGAAAGAGGTTAGACTAGTCGTACAGGAACACGGGCTGTGCGATGGAACCGTTGTTCCCCTCCTTACTCTGCTAGCTGTCCCGGCCACCAACCTCAACCGAGACTTCATCTAATTGCGGAGGGCGCGAGTTCTGTGGTGGCGCATGGGACGGGGCCAGGCACGGGGCTCTACCTTTCGATGTTTGTTGCGGAGAAAGCCCAACCTAACGTTTGCTTGGTTTTGGACAACCGTCCCGCGGGTGTGCAACAGTCCAGCATGGTTGTAGAGTATTGCCCACTCAAACATCGAATGAATGGTACCAAACGGGCGTCCTATAAGACGGCTCCAAAAAAATCAATCGAACAAAACTGAAACCCCGATAAGGGGCGTCAGCAGGGTGTTTTACCGTACATGTAGAGTGTAAGAGCGCTGTCGAGGAGCAACCCATTAAGGATGATTTTCTTCTCGATATTTATGCTGCACACAGCTATTTACCGACGGTAATAGGCGTCATTGTCATCATGGTGACCCGTCCTGAGCGCGCGAGGTCTTCGTCATGGCACCAGACGTGCGTGCGTACGTCATCCAAGCCTTCGTCAACACAGCCCCCAAGCCAATTGTCCTCGTGCTTTCGCTCCCAGGTTGGTACGCGCCAGCCTTGGGTACGACGGCCTGGGTTGTTGGGGTTAACGTTAACGTTAGGGTGTGTGTTCAGCACCAGGGAAAATCTTAACTGCTGTCCACCCTTTCCGTCGCCGTTTCCTCCTTCCTCGTGAGAACATGCGCCGTGCGACATACGCTCCCCATCGCCGTGTTATTATCCCCGACCCTGTGTTTTCAACGTCTCGATCCCCCCAACACTGCGGGACCACCACACTGTGTCCCGATAAGCAGTATGTAGTACCGCGCCCCAATTGTTACAGGAAGGGCCCGGGAGTTAAGAAACACAGGCAAAAAAAAAATTACACCAAAGAAGGTGGTCATAGGAACAGATGCCCCCGCCTGCGAGCCCTACACGTGAAAGCAATGGAGTCGATGTTGGGTTGCCCCAACAGGACACAAGGAAATGAGCCTCGGGCTAAAAAAAAAAGAGGCTCGTACTGCGACTGCTGTACGCGACATTTTCCGCATTGCCCCTCCGGTCAACCTTGGCGCATGCCCACGACGCTTGACGCCTCTATCGGCCCCCTCGTATCTTCTTACGTCACATCCCGGCCGCTCCTCTTACTCCATCAAGCTCGCCGTTTAAACCCTCGTGACAGGCAGCCGCCCAATCAAGTGGTTCATCGCCGTCGGAACTTCGGCGAGCTCTGCAGTCCTTGCTGCCTCAACTTGAACACTCTTGCGTCTTTTACTTGTCATTCTGCCCAGCCAGTTAAGCTGTGAGCAGCTGGACCAACGCACCCAACGCCATCCTTGCTCCCAGCTTGAATGAAATATTTGCCCCTTTTACTCGTCATTCCGCCCAGCCAGCTAAGCTGTGAGCAGCCGAACCAAAGCACACATTTTCCCTCCATGCCCTCGTGTCCCTTTTCGTTCACAGTAGCGGCCCGCTGTTGACCAACGTCTTGAGGCCTCGCTTCTTGCTTGCCTATAACTCCCACCGCTCCTCTTCCTTGCGAAAGCTCCCTTCCCCCACCCATCACGCCCTTTTACCACGGGAGCTCCCACCGCTCCTCTTCCTTGCGAAAGTTCCCTTCCCCCACCCATCACGCCCTTTTACGACGGGAACTCCCACCGCTCCTCTTCCTTGCGAAAGCTCCCTTCCCCCACCCATCACGCCCTTTTACGACGAGAACTCCCACCGCTCCTCTTGGACGCGGAAGCTCCCTTCCCCCGCCCCCGGCCGGCCGCTCTGCCGCCTCGCGAGGGAGGGGTTCGGGGGCTTTTGTCCCGTTTCCCCTTTTCCTCTACCTTCTCCTTGGCCTCGCCGTCTTCTTCTGCCGCGGAGGACTCGTCGCCCAAGATTTCGGAGATTTCGGAGATTTCGGAGACTCCGTCGCCATCGGAGGTATCGTCCTGCTGGGAGTCCCAGCTGTCCTCTGTGTCGTCCACGAGGTCGCTCGAGTTCACAGACTGGGTGGAAGGCACACCAACAGCGAAAAAAAAAGAAGAAAAAAAAAACGCACCAAGGAAACAAAGGGGTGGACTTGTCAGCTCACAGACTGGGCGAAAGAAGAGAGAAAGATAATCCAGGGAGAAACGGAGGGCGCTGGTACTGACAAAATCAACAGAGGCGTACTTGCTTTGAAGTTACCTGCTTCTGGACGGGAAAAAAAACAAACAACGACTCGCGGACAGATAAAAGACAGCTGTGCGCTCGCGAAACACACACGAGGATAGACCTGGTTTCGAAGAGCCGACGGGGCGGGCCGAGGCAATCGCCCCGAGAGAAAGCAGGAGGATAAGATCCTTCCTGTCATCCTGGCTTTGGCGACATGGCTCCGAGCTCACTTGGCGAAGCCCAAAAACAGCTACACCGACCGAGATTGCCGTTGTGGATAACCTCCTGACCACACGGACGCTACTACCGTGGCACATGCAAGACACCGTACCCGCCTGCCACACATCCCCTGGGACCAATTTTCACAAGTCGATACGAATGTACTGTACGCTACGAGGAAGAGGGAATCAAAATTAATAAATTACGTTTTCGAAAAGCTCTCTCTCTCTCTCTCTCTCTCTCTCTCTCTCTCTCTCTCTCTCTCTCTCTCGATGAGGCGGTTACAACGCCGCGGTTTTCGGTACCTTCGACCCGTTTACGCTGCAGAGTACTCGAGATTTGGGAGTCGTTCCAAGCGACGTGTGTGTCTTTGGTATTAGAGTCGACGGCGCTAACCGGCCGGCCAATGAAAAATACGTCAGTCTCAGCGCGGTTGAACTCAGAAAATGCTTCTAGGGGCCATGGCCATGTTGTGGGACCCCACGAGGATCGTCATGGGGGAGGCTATTAGTACATTGCGCGACCCACTACGTTAATCTCGCCCGAAGAGGCACGAAAGCAACACGCCGTCGACATTCTTGCCCACTCACGTCAGACTCCGAGTCCTCGTCCGAGTCAGTGTCCGACTGCACCACGGCCCTGTCCGCCTCTCTCAACAAAGCCGGAACGGCAGCGGCACCCCCCGCACCGCCGGCTGCTGCACCAGCAGGCCGTTTCCCGCCGCCGCCGCCGCCGCCGCCGGCCGACTTCCCAGCGACGCGGCCGGTGCCGCTGCGGCCGCCAGTACCAGCGAAGCCGATCTTCCTCGCGCCGCTCTTGCGGGTCACGAAAGCTTTACCGGCGCCGGCGCCGCCGCGGCCATCGTCGCCTTCTCGACCGTACGCGTCGGCATCCATCGCTGATTCCGACATTGCCGGGGGCGGCGCTTGGACGACCTCCACGTCTTTTGCGATGGTCCTGGTCTTGCGGCGAAACTCGTCCCTCGACATCTGGGCCGGGAGGGGGTTTCTCACTATCGCAGCGCTAGGGCCGGCGGCGGTGGCCTTATTCTGCTGCTGCTGCTGCTGCTGCTGCTGACGCATGGCGCCCTGTGTGCGCGAACATTGCGGGAGGGATCCAGAAGTAGAAGGATTTGTGCACTATTTGGCATGTCGACCGAAAGGAATCGTTCTTTTTTTGTGTGATGAAATTTGGACAAGGAGGGGCCGGGACTACGGCGATCCGTATAGACGCGGTGAAGAAAGTGAGAGACTGGCGGACAATACTCGAGCGAAAGATATAGGCATAAGAGAGACGGGCAAACAGAGACAGACAGACAGAGAGCAAGAGCGAGAGGCAAGAACAAGAGAGAGAACTCCGACAAGGGAACGCCCGAGCACAGCTCGCGGTGGTGCGTAACGCGTCGCTCTCTGTGCATGATGCAGGCGCCCGTGGATATACACACCACCCCCGTGGCAGACGCTTTTTGAGGTTCTCAGCATTCTGTTGGTCGCGTCTGGTTTATCGTTAGTTCTGCCCACTAACAAACCTCTGTCGTTTGGATTGCGCCCCCGTAACGCCATCGTCGGCGCTATGAACGAAACATGTGGTTCGCTTGTGCTGCGATGATGGACACCAAGATATCCGGGTACAACCAACGATGTGCTCAAAGAAAGTACGCGAACAAGTGTCCGTTGGGCCTTTGAGGATTTGCGGGCGTTGCCATTCAAACGGCGGCCTCTGCATCCGTACTTTTTACACACGGCCACCGCGAAAACTTGTCACACATTTAAGCCACAAGCCCCATCGTAGCAGGTCAGGCCACACAAGGCAATTCGTGTTGACTTCCTTAGAAAAACTATGCATACATTGTACAATCACAGAAATACTATTGTAACCGTCTGAGATAACACCACAGCACCCGAAGGAAATGTGTTGGATGTCTTCGCGACAAACCGGCTGGACACCAGGCTCTAAACTCTTGAGTCTTCTTAAAAGACCATACAGATTCGGAAAAAATACCTTTTTCGCCTGTCCCGGCACGACGGCAGCAGCCAGACAAGAAGAAGATGCTCCCGTTGTCGCAGCACTCGCTGCCGCTGACTTACCGCTGTCACCGGCACAAGCACCCGCGTCACCAGCGGCAGCAGCAGCAGCGGCGGCCGCCGCCGCCGCCGCCGCCGCCGCCATTTGTTGTTTCTTGTGCTTGACAAGGGCGGACAGCGCCTCCAGCGTGAGCATGCGCATCTTGTCGATTGTACCCTGCTGCCACCAACCGGTCACGATGCCTGGGCGGTCCTGCAACGGCACGGGGGCGAGACGGGGAATGAAAACAACATTTGGGAGGGGGACGGGGGGCACAAGGGTGGTCGTAAGTGTCTTGTTTTCCCGTGAGATTGGTGAGGAAGACGTACGTTATCTTTATCGCGATACCTGAACCAGCAAGACCCAGGGGGGCAAGAGGCGACGGGGGGCGGAGACATCGCGGTTGTCCTGTAACGCCTCAGTATCGGCAACAAGGGAAAAAAGCGGCAGGGGAGCAATCCATACATAATTAGCGTCATGGCTATCTTGGGGCGACAATTTCGAGATGATCACTGTTGCATCCCCTGCACGAATACATCAAGCCCACAGTGTATCTATCGCCAAGAACTCGGACGAGGAGACTGTCGATCAGAGGCCTACTCGAGATCTTTAGATAGCAAGCGCCATTTCATGTGGTGAACTTCTCCACTAAATTAACGGCAACCTGACCTTCGGAACGCGCTACGCCAACTTTCCTGTACATTTCGCCCGCACCAGTCTCCAGAAGCCACAAGAACAGCATTCGTCTTCCCCAGCTGCTTCGCGCCATACAACATCGAAACGAACAATAACTCTTCCTCACTCACCATGCGAGGTGCCTTCAGGGCGAGCTCCTGCACCTCTCGAATCGGAGACTCCCCCACCACGTGCCGGTTCCTCGCGGACAGGATGTTGCCGTTCAGGACAAGCTGGCGCATTGGAATAATCGCGCCAAGCACGGTCATTCCCGATCCCGATATCACATACAAAATCAAGAGAGCGGAGGGCGGGACGCCTAGTCAGAGGCTTGCGGGCTGTTTCTGTTCTTAGTTCTTGTCGCATGCACTTTCCCAACACTGCTCGGCTCTGGTGCACCAGGCTTGCGGCAGAGTATACGGGAGGAGCACACACACGAACTTTCCCGCCACGCATTCGGCTCTGCTGCATCTAAGCGAAGAGTTCCACGCCGACGGCCACACTGCCGCAAGCAAGAACATCAACGTGGGAGATACATCGCTACCACCGGCAAAAAAAAAAGGGAAAGGCCGGGAAAACCCGTCTCTGACACGGATTGATTGCCTCGTTGTTCTCCGTAGCGATACACAACAACAACAACAACAACTACAACAACAACAAGAAGCCTCCCCGCTCCCGCTCGGCCATCACTCACCTGGCTAGCGAACCGCCCCTTGGGTCTTGACGTAAGGCCCACCTCCGGCACAACACCCCCCACGGAAAGCCGCTGTGACGTCAACGTCAACCCGGCATCTTTTTTTCTCCCGCCTCCACCGCCGGCGACGGCCCCGTCCTCCTCCTCTTCCATCTCCGCCTCTACTACCTGGTCACCCTCGTTATCGGCGGTGACGGTGGTAGCAGCGCTTTCGCCGCTAGGTCCGGTTTTTGATTTCTTGGAGGCGTGTTCAGTGGCGGCGGGGCCCGTGGTGGCGGCATCGCCGAACGGTGGATCTGTCTCCGTCTCTTCGTCGTCAACGTTGCTCTTCTCGGTGTTGTTGCTGTTGTTGTTGTTGTTGTCGTTGGCATCGTCTGCGGCGGCGCCACCGGTCTTGTCACTGCTGCTGCTGCTGCTGCTGCTGCTGCTGCTGCTTTGTCCATCGCTTCCCTTTTTCAGTGCTGAGCTTGCTGCCTTTGCCACCGGCGCGGTCACCGATGCTCCTCTTCCTCCTTCTCGTACTGCCGCTCCCGCTGACCCCGTTGCTGCTGATGCTTTAGCTGCCGCCGTTGCTGCTGTCTTAGCTGCCGGCGATGACGTCGCCACAACCGGCGCCAACACTTTGGGCGTGCTCGACTTCTTGACACCAGCTTGCTCCAAGGCGGCCGCCCACACCCTGAGCTGGGCAGGGAACAGCCTGAACTCCAGAATCTGCTCGAATCTTGCGCCGGAAAAAAAAAAAAAAGAGACTCATCTCGTCATCGTTGTTTGTGGCTTGGTACATCATATCGGTAGGTGGTGGTCAACCGATAGTTACCGCTCGTCAACTTGCCTGTCAGCTTGCCAAACAAAGTTTGCCGCTCAATAAATGTATTACGGCGCTGGACCCGATATAGTGCCGGTTGAATACTGCCAGTGCCCGGTATTCTGCCTGTCGAACATCTGGGCACGAGTGCCCACTTCTATACTAAAACCTATATATCGTCCGCTCCCATGCGAAAACCTAGATATCGTCCACTTCTATACTAAAACCTAGATATCGTCCACTCCTATACTAAACCTAGATATCGTCCACTCCTATACTAAAACCTATACCGTCCACTTCTAAACAAAAACCTAGATATCGTCCACTCCTATACTAGAACCTAGATATCCCCGCTCTGAATAGCGCCGGTGTCCGGTATATTGCCCATCACAAACCTCTGGGCACAAACCAACAACACCATCTCGAGCCCTCAACTGCTGTCCTATTTAGTTCCTTCACTAACTGCAACCTAGATCCCCCATCTACGCAAGCCTCGTGCCTCAAATCTGCGCTCACGTCCTCCACGCGTATCATACGGCGGCGTGACTCTCTCTGTGACATACCTGTCTGATGGGTGGTCCTCCGGACGGTACCCGAACCTCACCCAGCGGCTCCTCCAAGGGCCGTTGCAGTAGTAGTACGCCACGGCGGGGACAAGGTCGCGAATCGGCCACCTGCGTCAAGGCCGAGAAGAGATATCGCAGAAAGAACAAACAAAATAATCACAAATGAGGGCACAGGGGGGATGCGCGGTCTTGTGTATTGGCCACATTATCAAACGAGAGAGAAGTTAAAATAGCGAAAACAAAAAAAACACAAAAACAAAGAGTCCAGTACAGCAGTAAATAGTAGGGTCGCACAGCAGTAGCGGGGATGAGGTCTGACGTTTTGGCCACCCGTGTCAAAAGAAAAATACCTACACCAGGTGAGAGGTAGAGATTAAGCACGTGGGTGTTTCGAATCAATTCAATCGTGTTTCAAAATTACTGCTTCTTGTTCAACCACCGAAATGAATCATGACGCCATGCTCACGTGGGCTGGTCCTGCATATGCTCCTCGAGCTCCCTCATGAAGTACATTGGCTGTTTCTCGAAGAGCTTCACGATCTTCTGCACGAGCAAAAGCCGCTGCTCCCGCACCTGCGGACGCACGTAGTAGAGAAAATTACGGTTTCTGGTGGTGCTGCTGGTGGTGGGTGGTCCGATACAAATCAAACTCGAGACGAACAGGCATGGTTTTCTGCACGAGCAAGATTTGCTGACGGCTGTTTGTTACCCGCACCTGCCGCGTTACGGTAGTACTGCTGCAAGGTACACAAAAAAAAAAGGTACACATGTACACCCCTCGTTGCGGCCCGATATTCCCGAAAACGGTTCTTCCTTTTCTCCGCACCCGCTACACAACGGTATCAACACGTACCAGGTGCACAGCAGCAAGCCGCAGATACAAGGGTGTCTACTGCACCTCATTGTGTCCGGATATCCCCTTGCGGTATCGGGAGGGACGGTTTTTTCTTCCCCGCTGTCGGCCGCTCCCCCACTTCCTGTCTAGCTCGACCCTCAAATGCTCCACCTCTAGAACACCGACGAAAAACGGAAAAAAAGGGGTGAAGGAGAGGGGATTCATTCAGCTTCAACATATGGTGCTTGTGCGTGGGGTCGTTGTGTCCCATTTATGTTCCAGATGAGCCGCCACAGCAGAATGTGTACCTTTGCACCGCACCTACACCGGGGAATGTGTACCATTAAGACGTTCCTAGACCGGAGAACTCAGGAAGCCGTTTGCTAGAAGACACAGCAGAAGTGCGCAAAAATACAGCAACATCGACGACACCGACAAAGACACCAACACTAATTTAGCAGCTTCATCAAACCACACAACAACCGGTGCAGCGTCTGAAAAATGCATGTGTACATGCCTTTAGCGTCTCTGATGAGTATGGCGCCGCTCTTAGTGACGTGCTTCACGGCCTCCCCGAAGCGGTGGTACACCAACAAGCTTCCCCTCTGCAGCTTTACCGTGTCGTGGTGCTTCCTCTCACGACGAAGGATCTGATCAAAACAAACCGAGGGCGAACCCGAAGAGCGTTACTTGCTGTCGATGGCCTCGTGTCGACTAACTCATTGTTACTTGCGTGACATTCAGGGCGTTTGATTGCTCTTCTAATAGCGAGGTACTCTCCCTGTTCGACTCCGGCCGATTTTCCTGCCATGATGTAAACGTACAACAACAGAGGTGCGTCGTTGGGATCGGGCTTTGTAGATACCATGGAGCTGCGTAAGGCACGATCGGCCAACGTGTCGACCGCAGCAGGGTGGAAAACATGATACCTTGGTCTACACCTCCAAAAAGTCGAAACGCGGTCACTATGACACTTGCACTCTTGTGGCCCCAGCAAAAATAAAAGTCTTTGCCAAACATCCATCTCCAAATAGACATTTCTAGTGCTGTAAGAGTATTCGAGGTGAGCTCGTCGGAATTTACTATCAGCACTACAGCAGTGACGTGCCGGCCCGC